CACACAAATTATTGTGCTAGATATGATTATCAGATGATAGTTCAAGTTCAGGTGATATATCCGGACAGATTTGGAACGACAAAATCAGTAGATGGGCTCAGCGTTGCAAGCACTCATGAGTTGACCGTGCCAGGGTGCTGGAAGCGGATACGTTCTCAGTGAAATTTGCTTGACGCTACTTCATTTCACATCTCTCATAGTCCTTTGAATTCAGTCCGGCAAGCCTTTGTTTCAATTTGTTTCAGAGATTCTATTGTCACCGAGGACCCCGTGCGTGCCAAAGACATAGTGAATGAGATACTGAAGCGTGAGGATCTGCAAAATCCATCCGCCTTTGTGATGAAGGCGTCGGACATGCTGTATGTTTTTTTTCTCAGATAGCATGAGCGCATGCCTCTACAGGGAACAGCCTGAACATGTATGCATATCATATTATACACATACACAAGTACATAATAGTACATACACAGTATATATATAGTTTGCACACCCATTGTGAGAGCCTTGGTATATATATATATACATACAGTATTTGCTTGCTGTATGTTGTCGTCATCAATGAATGCGATACACCAGAATTTTGGAAGAACATGTATGTACTTACATATATACACATATGTAAATATACAGGTAGATGTAGTAGAGAACTTTTCACCAGTATGGAATATGTTCATTGAAGAACTGCAGCAGAGCTTTTTTTAAGTTGTGGAGAAGAACCCACGTACTTGCCCTGAAGCGGTTTGAAGACATGCACGCAGTCGCTGTCGCATTCTGCCCATGCTGCTTTGGCACCGCCACCTGAAGTCCAGGACTTTCTTAAGTATGTCCATTCTAATTCCAATTGCTTGATTATTGGATTTGTAAAGCGAAAGACCTGGGGTTCGATGCCTTTTCAGGAGCATGATCTCTTTCAGGCCACCCAGGCCAGGTCATATATGACTCAAGATGGTGACTTATAGTCTAAATCTCATCTTGATTTGACGTGGGGCACATGCGGACTCAGGTTGAACAGATGCTTCAAGGATACCCGCACCTGCGGGCGCGACTTGACACTCAGGCCCTGGGCTTATTGTTCTATCACTCCAGGTCTTCCACAGAACACAGCTGCATAATGACCATGTGTTTGCAGTGCTGCTGCAATTTGCCCTGCAAGCACATGCCACTAGTCAGTCATGAAAGCTAAAATGCTATAAAATACTCAAAACCAGGGCCGTGAATGGTGATTACCCGGTGGTTTCTGCATCCAGGCTGTGAAAAAGATGCGGGCCTCTGTGAGCATCTTAGTCATGTCATGTCCAAGCGTTGCATGTCTTCGGGCATGGCCTGAGTGTGATGAGTGTCACTGCTGAGGATCTCTCACGAGTTCAAGAGATTCTGCAGGCTCGGATGGAATGGGAGTCATGGGAGTCCATCTCTCCACACTGTCGCAGTCGGAGTCAAGTGGTTCAGTTGCTTTTTAAAGTGCCCACACCAGGAATTGGACAGCAGGGGAGATGTACGGAACCCTTCGGCCTTTGTGGTGAAGGCACTTTGCCAGCTCATTTGGCAGAAGGATCGTCTCGACGGCAGACAATTCCCATTCTCGGCACAGAATGTTTGATTGATAATGATCAGCTATTACGCAGTATTAGCATGTATTAGCATGTGTTTGTACACAAGGCTGGGCTGTACCAATGTGTCCAATTGTTTTACTTTATTTGATAGATTTGAATAGATTTGACAGCATCCAAGATGCGGATAATTATTCATTCATAGGTGAGAAACATGCATCAATAATTGTTTGGGGCCTGGACTAGACTTATTAAGATCAAACATATCATAAACTTGTAGACTTTGGATTTTAAGCTGCCGAAGCCGCGATACCTTTCGAAATAGGTCAGCCTGAAAAGACAAGATTGGTATCAGCAGGACGAGATGGGATCAACCCCAAATGACCAGTACCTTACTTGGGACCATGTATGAGTAGATCTTTTTATTTGAACATAATAAACTAAGCATTTTGAACTCTACAAGATGTATCAAGATATTGGACACTGGCGACAATTACTGTCGGAGGCCTTGGCTGACTTTCCAGCACCGCAGGGGCCACAGGTTAGGCTGCAATATTGTCCAGACATGTTAGGCAGCCCGCTCAACCCTCAACATTTGCACAACAAAAAGTTGACGGAAACCTCTGACTTTTGTGTCAGACACCTTCTATCCAAGCTGCTCTCTACACAAGAGCCTTATCTAGGCACAGAAACATCAAAACATGTTTTTGTTCGCTTGTAAGGGCCCGTGTGCGGTGCATTTGCTTAGGCGAAGGGATGTGCCGCAGACCGCAGAACAGGCCATGCTAGCGACACCAGCCCTGTTGGCAGCCCAATATATGCTAGCAGCGCAGGCAGCGCAAGCCCAACTGATTCCCCAACTGACGACGTCCCAGATTCCTCAGCTGACAACTCAAATGGCAATAGACCCAGCACACTTGATGGCACATCAACTGGCTGCCTCACAGCTGACAGCTTCTCAGCTGGCAGCAGCTCAACTAGCAGCACCACAGATGACAGCACCAGCATTCTTTCTGCCGGCTGCTGATCCACTACAGCAGATGTTGGAAGCTTAGCCCTAATCTTTTCGGGGATAGCTAAGATAAACTTTCCTCCAGCGGCTTTACAATTCTTCTTGCGGTCTTTGGCTTGTGCTGGATAGCTGCACAAGGTTGGCATTGCATCCTACCCTTGCCGCGCAGTTGGACGAGCGTGCTAGGTCAACACTGGAGGCTTTGTGACTTTTGACATATTGTGTGGCTTACTTGCTTTGCGACCTTCGGGACTTCATGACTTCTCTGTAAAAAGCTAGCGTCCTAAAAAACAATTGGACCGGATAAACATGTTTCCCCGTACATCAGGGTCTTAGACAGCGTTGCCATGCCTTTCACCCACCTGCTAGGCAGCGGAGCCAGCCCGCGCGATCGAGGTTTTAGTGCATGTCTCAGAATGTGGCTGAACCCGACTTGCAGAACTCAGTCTTTTATCTTGCTCCCCTGGCAACAGAATGTTCTGAGGAAGACATCATTGCAAAGGGAGATGCCTGAATCTTTGATATGCGAATAACCTTTCCAATTCAAGGACCTTCAAGCACGAAAGTTCAGAGAGGATAAAGATGTGAGAAGCCATCGCACAATCTAAGGTGCGAAACCCCTCTGCATTTGTAGCCGCCAGCCTTTCCAAGTTTCGCGAGCTTCTTGTCTCAATGTAACGTGATTTGGGACGGTTATTTGCTTTTGGCTACAGACGGCTGCAGATGGTGATTCCACAAAAGAGTATTTGTGTGATTCAACAGTGGCTGAACATGGCTGAGCAAATTCGCATCAGACATGAGGCGCCAAGCACAGGCACGGCCAGAACGTTTGAATGCCTGCAGTTACAGTTGCTGTACCTATTTAAAAAAAAGCCTCCGCGCTTTGTTCCTGCCATTTGTGCTGCGCATCATGAATCATGCTCTGGCTGCTTTGCAGGCGAGGGAGCGCTCACGGATTGGCACTCAAGTTGTGATGCTGACAGACAGATGCCATGACAACTTACAAGGAAACATACAGAAATGGAGACTGAAGGACACAGAATGATTAGTATATATATATATATTGCAAACATTTGCTAACGATGCCGTGTAGTTGGTGAATGTTGGTGACAATTATCCAGCTGCTGACTGAGTTCCCATAAACTTGATACATGGCAAGGCGTTCCAGGGTTGCCTTGAGTGTATGCTTCCGCTGCCGTTTCGCAATTTATTGCAGATCCGCCCAGCCGCGTGCAGTCTCGCCGTATGTCTGACTTTGCTTTTCATATCAAGATGCGCTTCACTTGCGTTGTGCTTTCGGCGACCTTTGTTGTGGCACTTGCGGCAGGAAACATCCGTGGATCCAAAGAAGGGAACTCGGAGGTGAAATTTATGGATTTGGAGTACTTCAACCGTGCTGAAGTGGATGAACTTCTTCAAGAAGTTGCAGCAGATCGGAAACGGATACAATCACTGGAGCAGTCCTTGCAACCATACTTCAAATCATTGCCCAAAATTGATGGGCTGTTGACCCGCCATGCAGTGCGTTACGTCCTTCATCGCTTCTTCCAGCATACTCATGGTTGGCTTGTGAAGGGCTTGGAGCCAGAAGGTGCTTAAACGAAGAAAAGGAAACGGGGTTCTTAAGTTGTTGTTGAAAACTGATACGCAATCGCTTCCCGCCGCGAACTGCACGTCATATTCTTATGCCATTCCGCCATCCCGCCTTTCAGATTCTCCAAGAGTAACTCTTGTGTTCACGAGCCCGGTTTCCCCCCCCCACAGCTCTAGGTGCTTACCAGCCCCAGATGCAGCCTGAGATCAAAAAGGATCCTCGGTCCTGACTGCTTTCGGTAAGTATTAGATGACACCCATTGTCAAGGTCGAGAAACCGTTTATGGCTTGTCTTTAGGCTTTTGTAGGTTTGCAACACCACCTTTGATAGCAACGGTTGCTCCTCGATTTTGTGCATTTGGAAAGCGCTTCATTCTATATAGATTCTGCTAGATTCTGAGTGCGGCCAAGGATTGGGAAAGTTGGATACCGTCGTACTTGCAGCTACACTTTGACCGAATTGGGAAGCACAAAGGCAAGCTTGTATAAACAACGACAACCAAAAAGAAAGAAGCTGTGCGCCGAACTCCAGTTTCTTTTTGGCGGGGTGGTTGTGTATGTGTGATGTCACAATTGCCCGGCATTTTGGGGGTCCATTAATCCGCATTTAGGAGCAAGGACGCTACTAGGGGCTCCTGGCCTTACTACTAGGAGCAAGAAGCTACTAGGAGCAAAGGGCATCGGTACTAGGAGCAAGGACGCTACTAGGAGCAAAGGAGCCCAACACATCGCCACACACTCAGAGAAGCGAGTTGTGCAGCCTCGGTGTCTCTGGAGCTTTGCAGTCCAATCGTCCATGACTGTTCTACCGTACCGCAGGGACCAGTCTCAATGATTTGGCAGAGATGGCAGCTGTCATCGAAGATCTTGTGCGGAAGGAGGGGTTCAGAAAACTTTTAGGAGCTCCTCAGTCGAATGAATGGCTGAATGCCCGGAAAGATTGACAACTTCTTGGCGGTTAGTGGTTTGCAAGGCTCCAGTTGTTGACCATTATGTGCGATCAAAGTGGCTTCCATTCTTGGGTCCTGAGCGTTCCTGAGCCTGAATTTAGCAGATCAGGAGTCCCATCGGCAGATGGCAAAAGTCTATGAATCTTTGGGTTTGTCACGGATGCTTTGGCCGAACAGCACATCAGGAAACATATACGTCACACTCACGAGATACACGACAGACCTTGTCAGAGACAAGTGCTGAGTAGTAGTGACCCTCGATGCTTGGCTAGGACAGTTTGGTGAGAATTTGATCACTGTTTTAAATTTTGCAATAGGATGCAATAGGGCCTTTGGGGCCTGGGGTGATTGGGTAGCCCAGGGAGAAGCTTCGCCATTTTTTTAAGCGAACTGCAGCAGCGCCAAATATCAAGTTCACATGACACATTCTTACAGAACTTCAGTCAAAGTCTATGATCTGAGCAACCGCAAACGTCAGGAGGGCAGATAAGTTGTTTAAACTTGAATCTGACTGAGTTCCCTATGAACTTAATGCTTTGTGGCTTATATATTTTAATATTTATGATGATCACCTATCATCAATATGACTATATGACTATATGTATATTGGGAATATGTTTGGTGTCACTCATTCCAATCATTCTTCTCTCCACTGCTAGACTATATGTGCAATTGCTGCAGAAGAACAGCTGGCTACTGATATTTATTTTCAGAGCGATTTGCTAATTCTAATTACTGTTAATTCTATTTATGTCTTGTTCCTAGTAGCGAACTCTTGTTCTAGTAGTAGGGCCAGGAGCCCCTAGTAGCTTTCTTGCTCCTAGTAGCGATGCCCTTTGTTCCTAGGAGCGATTTGCTGACTCCAGAGGATGCTGACACTGCATTGGACCGGCAAGCGTGCCACGTTGCATGATTCTCGGTCAATCGGGTGGTGAAGCGCATGCCACTTCAAAGCAGAATAGTTTCCAAAGCAGCTTGCCACTTCACAACGAGCAGGACATGTACCTCATCGTCGTGCTCACAGCAAGGAATTTGACCATGGCAGAGCCACAGAAGAACAGGCCCTGTGACATTTCTAAAAGCAATTGATGAGACAACGTTCTGTGACCATTATATAGTTGTAATTGTCCCCCGCCCCCCGGCAATCACTGTGCACCCAAGCTCGGGAGAGGATGCATTTCCAGGTTAAAGTTTGCCCCCACAATTATTGTAATTTCACCAAGACATGCAAATGCAGCTGTCATAGGACACCATCTTCATGTGATCACAACATAAGATGCCGGTTGCAAGCAAAACCTTCATAGGGTGAGAGAACAGAAACAGTAGGTCCCTTCTCATTCTATAACTATTCTATAACTGTAGGTTGGAGGCCATCGCTTGTAGGTTAGAGGCCATTGCTATGAAATTAGGTTGGAAGGATGCCTCTAAACACTTTCTGGTCGAGAAGCCACAGCGTTAAACCAGCACTTTGGATCGCTGGAGGCGGCGCCTGGTAGCATTTCAGCAGCGCTTCGCTGGTTACGCTGAAATGCATGGTTGGCTTCAGGATCTAGGGACGAGGCCCTCGGACTGCAAGGCTGTGCCGCCTACTTGTATTTACCAACCCTGGGTGACACAAGGACTAAACACGCCGTGAGATGTTTTTTTTTTCAAATTTAATACTTGTTTGATGGGGCTTTTGTTGGTGATATGTAAGGTGGTGATCTTTGTGCTTTTCGCAGACGATCAGTAAAGCCCCAATACCAAATGTCAACCAGCAACCTGAGAGCACAGTTTCGAATCGGGCTGGTGGGCAAAGGAAGTGGCTTCGGTGGGCTACTAGGTACACTCTTCCAGACATCGAAGAGCATGGTGGCATCAGCTTCTCTGTCATGAGTCGGGTGGCTGAAGCGTTTGGCGATGAATTTCCCCACTTCAATGACAAGGCAAGGATCTCGCGTGTGGCCCACGGTGTAGAATTTGGCAACTTTTTTTCCAGCCAATTCGCAGTGCTACTGGATAACACAACTGTGACGCCTCATTTTCGCTAGGAGTGCAATGACTTGAAGACCACTTTGATGAAGATGGAGGGTGGCAGTCGCAAACCAGGCGAGTCGTTTGCTTTGTGTGCGCCTCAGTCTTACACAGTCCCAAGTCCCAACCGAGGCAGAATTCCATTGTCCGACTTCTACAACAGCAGCAGGTACAGACACTGGAAGTTTACTGAGAATCCAGAGTACCTGCGATACTTGGCAGAGAGAGAGAGAGCCTTAGCAACAGCAAGTTCCCATAGATGTTCGATATGTTTGTGGCGTTTGGCAACCAAACCTACAATGGTTTCCTGTAGGATTGGGTGGAATGCGAGATGAAAATAGATTAAGTATAAGTATACATAAGTATACATTACATAATGCATTATAAGACATTTACACGACGTGAAACCGAGCCTTTCCACCAAACTGTGACTGAACACCCTGTGCAGAGAGAGGGAACCGTTGCAGAGCGCTTCTTAGATTTCCCCTGAGCCTATCCCATGGCTTTTGTGCGTGTTCTGGCCATTTCCTGCATTCCAGTTGGGGTCCTTGGAGATTGGACTGCTTGGGAGTGTAACCCTGCCAGCGTTTCTTCGGATTTGTCATGTTTGCTTGGAGCTGGTTGCTTGTTGGCCGAAAGGCTGCAGGTGCTGCCAGAATGGCATCTTAAGCAGGGGTGTCGAGAAGATACTGTAACCAGGGCACAAGGAGATAGAGATGATGGAGGCTTTAATTAGGGGGGAAATCTTCATACTTTGCTATTCACATTGCTCAAGGCTTAGTCTTGGTGTAGAAGCCAGAAAACAATTGTCAAAGGCCTTCAGCTTCAAGGCTTCGAGCCGAGGTGACCTGGGGGCGTTGGATGAATCCGATGCACAGCGGAAATATGTCATCTTGGCAAATTACATCAGCAGCTGCTCGAAGATGAAAGACATGAATTGGTGAAAGCTAAACCAAGCTCAAACGAATACTGAGTCCAAGAACCCTGCTTGAACACCAAGGTTTCAACAATTGCATTCGCGCTGATGGCCTTTATGCAATTTGCTGCCAAAGCCCTTGTGAGCGACTCATGCACACACTTGAAGAACAGGCCATTTCGACATATCTCAGCATTGCTCTCCTAAAGTGTGTTTCGATGGAACTTGACGGCTTTTCAAAGCAGTTTGCAATGATCTCAGTTGCACGGGCCATTTCAAATCTTCTTATCCTTTCCGGACCAGTCTTTAAGACTTTCTTGGACCATTTTTGGCACTCTTCTCAACTCTTCTCAGCTTTTGTGTCCACTTGAAGGTGGCTGCACCTGCGGCAGACTCTGCAACTCTAGCAGCGCTAGTTGCAAACCTCTCCACGGACACGGTGCCTGTCAGAGGCAGGGCTGGCAAACCACATAGCCCAGCGTAGCATGCGACGCATCCTGCGCGTCATGCCAAAGAGTTGAGATGAGGCTCTGATTGCGCTGATGCATCTACGTAAATAATACTGTATACTGTATATATACTGATCTTGTAAATTACTTATATATATATATATAACAAAGGAGATCCAACTGCAGAGTAGCCTCTAAAACTTACAATTGCATGATCATCCCAGAGCTGACCTCCCTGCCAGACAAATTGGACACCAAATTGCTGGAGCGTTTGGATGGCATAGCAGAGCAGAGTGGACAAAGCAAACTAGTACCACTTCATGGCCGTCTCTTTGCTTTGCAGCTTGCCTCAACTCAATACAGCTTTCGGGGTGCTGGGAGAACGGAGAAAGTGAGAGAGAGGGAGAGTGCAGGAGAGAGACAAGAGACAGAGGTCAGAACTAGCCGGGCCAGAGGTTAAGAAGCTACGTACTTTTCCGAGGTGGATGCATCACGCCTTTCCTCGCGAATGTCCATATCCGCATAAGGCCGCCCTGGCATGGTGCTTGGTTAGGTAGGGCATCGAAGCTCATTCGGGAGTTTAGTATATCAATCTCATCAAGCTCACTGTATGCGACATATCGTGCAGACACTGGTTCATGCGTGAGGGGTCAGGAAGATATGGAGCTGCTGCTGCATGCCATATACCTGTTTGCGAATCTCCAGAATTCAGAAGCATGAAGTTTGCAATCATCAGGTGGGTACCACAAATCCTCAAACACCAGATGAGTGGATGAAGAGCAATGGGCGTAGCACGCAAGTCTCGCAGGAACAGATTGCGAGAATAGTGCAAGATTCTTGTCAGAACTTTTTTGTTGTGCTCTTTGAGCCTAGGTCGCTCAAAGTGTGCAAGTGGGTGAGGCTGCAGGCATTGTTTTGGATCCGAGGATTCCTGTCCGGCTGGGATCTGGGAGGATTTGCCATCTCATTGTGAGATAGAAAACGATGAGCTTCCATGGAGCAATTATGAAGATCGAGAGACACTTTTGAGCAGCTCGCTCCATGATTTCCGAGGTTCGATTCTGAGATCTAAACCTGAAGGGAATTGACCTGCAACATGTTCAAGACCTAGAAAAAACAAGACATGCTTGCTAGACATAGTAAGACATAGTAAGACCACTTTTAGACCTGCTCTCGTTGGAGGTGGTGGCTGTCCAAAGCTTTGAGTTGCCAGTTGAGTTGAGTTTGGCGTCTCAGGTCCCTTCGCAGAGCTGGATCTCATGAAAGAGGCAAGGGTATTAAAAGGGAGCCAATGGCAGAGTGCAAGGGAGTCAGCACCCAATCGGTTGACACTTTCAAGAGATGTATATAATGATCGACCTTAAATTTTTAAACCGGGCCCCCCCCTCCATACCAAAACTAGATCCCACCAAAGCTAGCTGGGATTGAGGTAGTCGTCATCGTCGTCATCGTCGTCGTCGTAGTGGTATTTTTAGTGGTAGTAGTAGGAGTAGGAGTAGGAGTAGGAGCAGTTGTAGCACTAGGAGTAGTAGTTTTATGTAGTTTTAGTAGTAGTAGTAGCAGCAGCAGTAGCAGTCGTAGTCGTAGTAGGAGTAGTAGTAGAGGTAGAGGTAGCAGTAGCAGTAGCAAGAGGAGTAGTAGTAGTAGTCGTCGTCGTCGTCGTAGTAGTAGTAGTAGGAGCCCTAGTACGGTCAAGCAAGGATCTGAACAGGGTAGCAGTAGCAGAAAACAAAGCTCCAATGTTCTTTTCAGGGTTCCAAGTTGGTGCACAAATGTTGTATGATTCACTTCCCTGGGCTTGTGTACCTCCTTGAAAAAAAGGTGGAGCATTGATTTCAATGAGTTATAATGAGAGTGTTTGAAAACATGTTTTCAGGTCAGAGTTCCAGGAAACAGCAGACTAGGTTAAGCAAGGATCTCAACGGGCAGCAATAGAAGACCAATAGAAAACTAAGCTATAAATCTTGATAATTCACTTCTTTTGGGTTTACCACCTCCTTCAAACATTGTTTAGAGCAATGACATCGATAAGTTTAAAACTGGATTTGAACACGGTCTCAGGTCAATGTTCCAGGAAACAAGCAAACCTCAGAAGAGGTTAAGAAGGAATCTCAAAAAAAGGACACAACAGCTGAACAATAGAAAACCAATTCAATATATAAACAAAGCAGACCTTAAAAAAGACGCTCTGTCAAAAGTATGTTATATAATATTACCGATACCACTGAACTATTCAGGGATTTTCAGGGTGTGAGGGATCATGTTGCGAAAACTCGTTGTATTTATAGTCACTAGGAAGCGTGGCACTTGTTACTAATAGCTTCTTGTTACTACTAGTAAGGCACTTGTTACTACTAGCGTGGCACTTGTTACTACTATAGTCACTGCGAAGTGACAAGTGGTCCCTGACTTCTGAGCAGTGACAAGTGTCGTGCATGACAGGTGCCAGCACCCTCACTATGGCTGTACTTTGGCTCGCTGCCTTTGGTGGTGCTGGCGGCATACACGCTCGACACAATGCTACTTGAGCTCATATGTTCTTACAATTTGACCTGGAACGGCTGGACTTGAATGGGTCCATTATTGCATTATTGCATTCCGATTCAGTTTTGTGAAGGATCGTAGAAGAGGCAGAGCAGGAAAACGATTTGAACATGCAATAGACAAGTCATGACAAAACATCCGGCGATTCAAGAGTCCTGCAATTAGTTTACAGACATGTCGAAATCCAAAAATACAGTAACTAGAAGGTACTAGGTGGAGGCCGTTGCTATTAGGTTGGAGGCCACCACTACTAGTAACAAGAAAACTTTCTAGTAACTAAATCTTGGCAATTGTTGTTTCGAGGCTTGACCCAGGCATCTCTTCGAGCGTGTCACCGAAAAGGCGGACACGTTGCTATCCTTCCTGGGTTCCGGCTCTTGGCCTAGTGATGGAAGTAGGATGAAATACATTGACAAAAAAACAAACAAGACAAATCCGAGCAATTGCAGAGTTTTGTAAGCACATGTTTGTGCATGTTTTAACTCCAATTCGATGCCAAGGCTTTGGCTTTTCTTTGGGCGACCGGGCTTTGTTTGCTGCTGGACCTTGTGAATGTGAAAGCAGCTGCTGGTGCTGGCTTGGCTTTTCTTGCGTGGAGGCTGGCGTGCGGATTCTAAGAGGTGGAATGAGGGGCGCTCCAACTTTGACCTGGTGTTGTCAGGCTTCTGATATGCCATTGGTTGCTCCCCTCGCCCAGCAAGTGCCACAATACTGAAGACTGAGCCAAATTGTGCTGATGCAATCTTCCCGACCGGCCCTGACTGAAGCAGTCGGTGATTCCAGCCCACGTGAATGGCAGCGCTCGTTCCCTAAGCCTGTGTACTCTTGGCCGCAGAGCCGAAGACAAAACAAGAAGGAGCATTTTGGTGCGCGTGAAACACCAACCATGTTTGGAGAAGTAGGTTGTTGCCTTTCTGGGCAATGTTGTTCGAACTTCAGGCTTGAATTGGCTAGAATCTAGAACTATATAGACACTGGTTATCAGCACAGTTGAAGGAATATGACAGCGGAGCGAGTCCTGGCAGAGTAAAACGATATCCCAGCACTATGGCAGAGGGTCAAGTGGCTGTACACATGGTAGAGGGTTTCAACCAATTGACCCCCCCAAAAAATATATACTGTACAGTAGATATACAAACACAAACAAACACAATGTAAACAGTCCTCATCAAATCTCTTGAGCATAGGCAACGTTTGGCATTCTGCCACGGAAAGAATTGGAAGTATTTTTTGACCTGGTGCCCCCACAAAAAAGATTAAAATGGAGCATATTACGACATAACATGCAAACAAACTGAAAGCATTTGTCGGTGTAAGTTGTCACCTGCTTTTCTTCAAAATCAAATCATCTCACCGTGTTTCGTGTTCGACTCTTTGAGGTCTCCCAGGCGTGAAGGTCCTAGTTGGGTGGACCAGGCAGGTTCAGATTTGAGTCCAACAGCTTGTCAGTGCTGACTGAATCTTCTGCAGCGACCGTGTTTCGTCAACTGTTGCCTGTTGCGATCAATGTCGACTTGATCCGACATGAGAGGCACTAGGAAGCTAGTAACAAGTGCCTCGCTACTAGAAACAAGTGCCTTACTAGTATTACTAGTAGTAACTAGAAGCTATTAGAAACAAGTGCCTTAGTAGATTCGGAGGCACTCTTGCAGTATCCGCACATCGATCTTGATCTACAAGCAAGGAAGCGTTTGAGAGGGAAAGGTGATGAGACGTGTAATTGTAAAGTAGCATCAGACTTGACTCAACATTGCAGCCGCATTTCATGGGTGAGCACTGCTTGCGAGATCTGAAGCCACGTGGGATGCTAGGAAGTTGGATCAAGAGTTTCCGACATTTGCTTCTAAACCCGGTGGCTTCTTTGGCCGAACAAAAGCACAGGAGAAAGCTAGAATCCATCGACCCGTCTCGTGTGCGGAGCCAAGCGCAAACCTGGAAGCTAGCAGCAACAAGCAGGGGCATGCAGGGGCCAGTTGCTTTGGACATCTTCTACACCACAAGACACCAAGGGAATGGAAATGATTGAAGACTTGGCTCGGAGAACGGATGCTGGGGTCTCAATACTTTGGTGAACGAAGTTAGCTGCAGTTACTTTTCCTGAATATAGATGGAAAGTCAGGGCTTTTGTGTTTGATGTTACCTTGCGTCAAAAGGGCCACCAGGTCACCAACCACCAAGTAAGAGCACTCTACTAGGAACAAAGACGCTACTAGGGGCTCCTGGCCTTACTACTACGAGCAATGTTCGCTACTAGGGGCTCGCTACTAGGAGCAATGACGCTACTAGGGGCTCCAGCACTCTGTTTGCTTCATTTGGTTTGCGAGATCCGAAACCCATCCGCGTTTGTCATCAAAGCGGCAAATGTGGTGGCCCTGGAGTGCAAGCAATTGTATGACTTCAGCGGTGAACGATGTTCATGCTTGCGGCTAAGCAGATTCTCGGCAAGTTTTCATCCAGGCTACCATGGCGGCAGCCCGGACAGACACAGCTTTTTCACATGATAGGGTTCCTAATAGGGTTAATGATTCGGCTAATGTTGTCAAGTAAAGTCAGGCACTTGTCACATGTCCATTGCTGGATGCAGGTAATACTTGAGGTTGCTGGCCTTGCCCAGACAGAATTGTACCAGAAATCAATGAGGTAGCTTGGTCTCTTGACAGGACACAGGACAACGGGACAGGCCAAGCGGAGGCACAAAAAACAAGCTTTGGAGATATATACTGCAAGCCTCTGATAGTCTCATCCTGTTTGCTCCCGAGAGGCGCTGGCAGCGCCGGCAATCATGCACACAGAGGCTGTAAGAAGCCTGTGAAAGCTTCTGTGGTACCCGAGTGTAAGCTTGCTACGGTAAGAGCGATGGCCTCCAACCTACTAGCGTACTAGCGATGGCCCAAAAAGCGCAATGTTGTTTTGGGCCAAGTGGGCTTTTGCTTCTTCAAATCCAGGTTCACGAGTACAAGACTATGATAACCGTGGCAGGATTGACATGTGACTGGCACCGGTTCAATGCCCCCCTTGTGTTACCGTGACTTGGTAACTCTGTAGCTGACAGCTGTTCAAAGAGTGGAATTACGAGAGCATGCAGGGGCCTCATGGCTCCTTTTCCAGGGTGGTGATGCAAGTAGAGGAAGATTGTATAAAATCGTTGCATCTCAGATGAAAAGCAGGTGGACCTGGAGACTAGAGCCGCACGCTTTGCATTGGCCGCGATCCCATTTTCAAGTTTTTTGCACCAAGATTGAGGGTGTTGGCTTTGCTCCTTGTCCCGAGGACGACGACGCGAAGAGGCACATGGAAGTTCAACGTTCGGCCGCTTGTCAACTTGCCTGCCTTTCTTCTGAAGCATGTCAGGACTCTGCGCGCCGCGGATTTGGCTTGCATCTGAGTTTGATGCGTATTGGCACCATGCACATGTAGATAGATGTAGTGGTGGCAGATCGCATGTATTCGCAATATAATACAATGCAGGTAGAAATAGAAACACAAAAACATAATATTGATCAGACGCAGCCTACAGAAGGACAGTATCTCTCAAAGCAACCGAACAGCATTGCCGAGGTCCGTGCTCATCAGGTCCTGGACGAGTTGGAAGCAAAGGGGACTGAGGTACTTGATCATCCATCGGAAAGAAATGGGGTTTAAAGCCCAGTCCCAGTCTCAATAGATTTGTTCTGGGTGGAAGTCAGAGGATGTGCTTTTCTTGCAAGACCGACAGACCGTGACAGATCCATGATAGGTACGAAACCCCAGCGCCTTCGTTTGCACGTCCTTGTCACGGTTTCGTACACCACGCTTCAGGCCAGGCAGCAGTGGCACTGGGGAAAACAAGCAACAATAAACACAGGCAAACAACAAATTATTATGATTATGCATGATTATGCATTAGTTTCTTCAATTTTCTTCCAAGAGGAACTGAACCTATGTGTTAAACGGTTAAGTTCACACACCTTTGCGACTGGTGGCCTTTATGAGTTCAGGTGATAGCCTGAGATTGGCTGTTTGGCTGGGGGGCTGTTTAGGCTGTTGCCTGGTAGAGCTTGTTTTGTGGCATCATAATGGCATGTTGCCTACAAGTTGAGTTGATTGGAGTTGAGGATATTAGAGCCCTCTCGGCAAGGACTGGGAGAATGATATAACTTTCAAGGGGTCTTATGCGTCTCACAGCGAGCAGAGTTGGCTGAGAGTGACAAAGACACCGGAACGGAGAGTTTGAGACATTCCTGTGGTGATGTGCAGAAACCAGCTGCTTGAGTCGGAGTTGCCAATTTGTCAGACCTACTTTTCCCAATTCACTCAGCTTTGAGGGGTGTAGATAGGTCTCAAATGGATGGACGTGACAATAGTGAGCATGCTCATCAAGACATGTCAAGAGACTAGCTCACCACTTGCCACAGTCGATCGGATGATAAGAGAATCCAGATAGCTTTCATTACCTCAATAATCAGAATGTAAACTTCGCATTTTATCGTGAAGAATGGCAAGTGTATGGCTGGAAGCCCATGGCAAGGCCCAACGCTTACAAAACCAGAGCTGCTGTTTGGCAGGTCATGTTGTGGGATTGTATGGTTTGGGCCTGCCTGAAAGGCTGTGGTCGTCAAGGGTGACACTATGCAAATCAAGGCGCTGTCTAAACCATCCGAGAATCGTCATCTCGCCAGTGGTGTCGCACGTTCCATCCTTCGTCGCTCAGAATGCCTGTTTGTTAACATGTCACTTCACTATAATCTCGATGGATATTCAACACATATGACCCTCGAGTGATTTTGGGTACTACAAGCTGTTACAATGCTGGAATGGAAAGTCAGGTCTCCACACGGTTGAGGTCTTCATGAATGATTATTTTTGTTGTTGTTGCTCTGACTGGATTAACAAGTTGGTTGCTTTTTTTTCAGCAATGTATATATATATATATGTTGCATGTGTCAGACCTAGCCTAGCTCTAGCTTTCTACCACCACATTTAGCCGACTGTCGGGCCACAAGCCGTTTATCTCTACTTAACCGCAAACCTGCAGATCTGCTCAGCAGGTGGAAAAGGCACTGGCAGTCGCTACCCCACGTAGATGCATATGTGTACACATTATAGATATATATAAATATATACACATAATTTTGTCTACCTACGTAATCCCGTAATACTGTATATACTTTATTATACCTGATGTGTCTCTCTTGTGGGTACTCGACTCTCATCTCACCAGAATCTAATGACCCTTTGCAGCTTGTGTGGGTTCCACAGGACTTCCTGAAGTTGAAAGGTGGCAAATGGAACAGCAACCTCAAGTCTTGGATCTTTCCTGGCTCAAAGAAGGCCCGCAAGTCTTTGAGCGCTTATGGACTCATCTACTACCGAATCACTATTGGATGTTAACACCATGCAGGGAGCAAGCCTTATTAACACCACTTCGGCGTTCCCAGTTTCAGCTTGATGTACTGTAGATGTCCCACCGTCACCTCATTAATAAGCGTTTCTGGGTGGCAGGCTGCACTTTTGCAAGGCACAGGGGCCTAGAGAATGATAGCCTGCTAGCTGTTCCTTTTGTTTGGCATTTGTTGTGTCCAACCAACTTTTTTTCTTGTATTTGTGAAGAAAAAAATCGTTAAATCCACTAAGACCTGCAGAACTGTGGTACAGTCAAGAAGGTCGAAGACAAGCCTAGTTCTTAGCACAGAAGCAGAGGGTGAATCGCTATGACTCATGACATTGAATCAAACTCAGGTATGGATTTCCCAGTTGCTGCTTGCAAGATGACTTCACATGGGGTTCTGAGGACTGGTTCAACAACCAATGGTAACACAGGACCGACTGCAGCCACCAAAAACTCCGCTGCTCCTCAGGTCAGCAATTCCAAAGCCTAGCTTTTGTATTATGTGTCAAGGAAGAAGAAAGAACACACGTCTCCATTTTTCACGCCCCAAGACAAAGTGAGTGGCCTTCCCAGGCACCAAAGAAGAGGGCAGCTGCAGAAGGGGAGTCCGAGGCTGGAATAAATTGCGTTCAGCATCAAACTGTAGTATCAATCATTGATTTCGACACTGCCAACCATGAGCCAGAAAATGCCCATGCATTGAACAGCACACCTTTCTCATCCTTGACCATAGCAGTGCAGGTCATCCAGTTAGATGATAACGCTCCGTGGCTGGAATGTTCAGATTGCCGATTGTGAAAGCAATATGTATATATATATATACTATACACTATACACTATATACTATATACATGTGATGGGTCCGTGGGTTTGGTATAGTATGGTTCCTTGGAGTCATTACCCCGCAGGATAGCTGCACATCAACCCGTGCACTGCTGTTTGCAGCCAAGTTGTAGATGCAGTATGATGCAGTTTGGTGTATTGAGGTTCGGGTTGAAGCCAATGCCTATCAGGGCAAGATTGGCCGCTCGACCGAACAGTGGGCAATTGTCCAAGTATATATGTCCCTTCTCAAGGGGCAAGGTCCATGCTTCTTGCAAATTGCTGGTCGAAAGCTGTTTACTGTATAGCGCATGTTTCTACATAGACCTTTCTTTGAGAAGCTTTAGGGTTTAAGAAGCGGGATGTGTTGGACTACGTTGGCGATCGCTTGTTTCAATTAAACAGGCACCACTACGTGATACGTTTATTCCCTTGTCAAGGGATGTCAAGGTTCAGGACGCGGACTTGAACTTGCTTGTCACCAAAGCTACCCAGCCCAGAGGAAATGACCTCGCGATTAGGCTCAACATGGCTCAGTACTAGACTCACTAGACCTCCACCTAGGAGCTTCTAGCTACTAACTAGTAATTAGTGATGGCCTCCAACCTAATAGCGATTGCCTCCACCTAGTAGCCTTTTGTTCCTAGTGGCAAAAGGTGTTAGGAAGCTCCTTTTTTCAGGATGTGTCACATAGTTTCACCAGACTGATAATGTCTCTCAGGTGTTGACATTCGTCGATTCTGGACAGAGAAGGTTGGCAAGCCCCTGACAAATTTTCTGTCAGAGTTCCAGATTTTGCTGCATTCAGAGAATTGAAGAAGTTCATCCTCCATGATTCTGATTTTTCGTTAAGGATGCCGAATCGGCTGATCATATGGTTAATTACAGTTCAAACCATGTTGAAGCACAATATGGGCCCTTTCTGAAAAGTAGACATTACTACGCGCTTTTGACTCCAATCTTCATATGTTAAGTATAAGTATCAACGGTGACTGGGTCATATAGATGACATCCGTGGAGGCATCTGGAGAACTACGCCCTGGGAAGGCTGCTTGCAATATGAATGAACGACTCGTCAAGGGGCATCATCGTGTTGGCGGCTTTGCGTGCACCTAGGTAGATACCATATCCAGATATCCATGACATGGTTTTGTGATTATGTAATGTTATATATATATATGGAATTGGAGTTCCCACTTCCACTTCTTGATCTGAGTGACAGCAAGCTCAAACTGATCAAGGATGACTCGCTCATTTTGTGAACCAGCAATTCGTCACCGGTTTGGCGATTTTGTAACTCCCTCTCACTCTTTGTAATTGTCTCTCGCTCCCTGTTTTGGGTATATATCACTTGTTCGAGTCGCAAACAGCCAAGCAAGCACACTGACCTGGCTTATCCCAACTCAGACTGATTCGATGGTATTCACAAAGGGTATTTACACAGGATGAGGTCAGCGCAAAAGGGCAAACACAGTATAAATTTTGCCAGCCAGCGGCTCAAAACCCATGCGTGCATATGAATATAATATGTTTGAATACGCATTTGATGTGTATATTTGTGTGAGCACAGATATGCCGAGTTTGGTATTTTGGTGAAGTTAGGAATGTCCGAAAGGATCGAATATGACTTCAAAGGGCCACATATTTCTGTGTGTGCAAGGGCCTGCGGATGTCCCAGTCTGAGTGGGAAGCCATTTGCTAGGGCCTTAGGCGTGGACTCGAGGATTGCCACAGCCAAGATGCAATACGTTCAATACATGAAACGAGGTCGGTATAATTTTGGCGCACAGTGATGCTCTATTGGTGTGGCTGATGAGGTGCGGGCAAGGAGCGCATTGACGAAATGCTGAAGGAGGTGCCAACAGATACAACGTCCGACTTGTTGTTTTTGTATGTTTTGTTGAACGGGAATTGCAGCAACGGCAAGAAGTTGGTTGCGTGATGTTGCGTGTATATTGTAGCCCACCGCCCACAAGAGGGACTGATCGCACTTTGATGGGACAGAGATGGCAAAGCGGGACTCGCAGGACCTACATCAATCTACTGCCCCAAAAGAATGTGCTTCCTTCTTAACCTCTTGTGCAAACACTTGGAAGAATGGTCACAACGGCACTGGCCGATCAGGGCGAAGAGAATTCCTGGTTTGCTGAAGGGGACGTGACGGTCAGCATTACTGGGGGAAGTGTAGATCTTCGACGCTTTTACACAGTGCCTTGCCTGAGATCCTTTGCCACACAAGTTCCGCTATTATTCAATCATACATGAATATACGAAATATGTCAAGAAAAGTCATAACGAACCTTGCCAAGGACAAGAGCGATGGAGAGAAGAAGCCAGGCGACACAAGACACGACTTTCCATATGTTTGAACCTGAAACATCCAGAAGCCCACGGTATTGTCTACAAATGTCTACCGACTACTGTCCTGTTTGGCAGGGGCATAAAGACCTGGCTGGTTCTTCTTACTGTAACTGAGGTATCAATTGAAGCCAATTGTATAATGCCAACACTCAGTCGGAAAAGTGTCCAGCCCATATTAGGAGTTTCACACGCAGCCACCTTCGAAGGCAAGCAGGGGATCCGCCTTTCAGCGATACTGTGGGGCGTGCTCAAGGCCAATTTCAGAAGTGAAGTGCTACAAAGTTGTGGCACTATTGCGCTTTGGTACCCACACTTGCTATTGGGTTGGATGCCGTCGCTATTAGGTTGGAGGCCATCGCTAGTAGTGGAGGCCATACTAGTAGGTTGGAGGCCATCGCTATTAGGTTGGAGGCCACTGATTCAATTTGTTTCATGCTGTTTGGACCTTTTTGACCGGTAAGGGCTCCAATATTTGGCATGCCCGTTCCATGTCCTGCATATTCTGTGATGAGCCGAGAGGCAGAAATGGCAAACATTACAAAGATGTTAGGCCAAGTCAGCACAGAAGGCAGGGTATGGCAAGGCATCCATGATGATTTGTAATTTTGTATTTTTTTTTGGGGGGGAGCTATGCAGTGACAGGAGTGGCAGTCTGCCACTGTTGCTGAGGAAACGTGACGAAGAAGCCGAAGCAGAACAAGAACGCTTCCACGAGGATGCCCATGTTCTACCAGAATGAGCATGCATGAGCTACTGCGGACTGCAGTGGAGGATTAGTTTGTTGATGGTTTCGTGTTTGGATGCTGACTTCGAACGTAATTTAGACCTGAGTACCTGACTCCGATCAGGTTGATTGCCCTTCCGTTTGCTTGCCTTTACTACTTTACTTTACTTTACACTGAAATGCACCGGCTTGTCTTGTTCCGGCCAGGCTGCAACGCACTGCAGTTTGTTTAATGTGTTCTAAATTAATGGGGATGCTAAGTTTTTCTTCCAAGTTTGGACACACACGATCACACACGCACATGCCACAAAGTGCACACTCAGACTCAAATGTTATTATCAACACTTGATTGTCAATATTGTGAGACCGAGTTTTCGAGTTCATGATAGCATTTTCGTGAGGGATGAAGCTTCTCCCGTTGAAAGACCAGAGCACGCGAAGTACGGATCCACAGTAATCATATCATGGCATCGAATGAATTAAGCACCAACGTGTGTTGGAAATTGTTTGACATCAAGGTGGAAAGAAGAGCTCACAATGATTTTGCAAGGCCTGGCGTGCCATTCGATGGACAAAGTGTCACATGCAGCAGCTGTCAGATGCTGTCAGATGGTTTTGTGACACTGGTCTGGCATGAATGAAGGCACCCATGCGCAGTTTGGGTGACTTGAGCCAACACAAGATGGGTGTGCTGCTGTGCAAGAGTGCAAATGCTTGCAATTCTCATTGATCCAAGACTACGCCTGACTACGCCAAGTATGTCCGCGATAGTCCGCGTCTCCAAGCATGTATTTGCGCAGCTATTGGGGGCTGACCATAAGAAACAAGTTACACCAGTTTTATAGTTTAATATGGACCTCGGATGATATTGGGAAGAGGAGGTGCGGCGAGCACGACGACTGATTATATATGCGGCAAGGAAGTGCCCACTGGTGGTAGCGATCTTTGAAGCATTGTTGGCATTGGCATTTAAGTCCTACTCCCCCCCCGAATAAAGCGTGCATCAACTAGTTGAAGAATCCAGTCTAAAGCTTGAGGAGCCGTGTTTCACATACAATCTCTAAAAGTTTGGGACGTCGGGGAGTCGCCGTTTGGCAGGCCGCGACTTGCAAAATGTCAGCTTGCGAAAAGTCCGTGAAGAATTGGAGGCCAACAGTGCATCATGGCAGTGAAGCCGAACCAAAAAACATTCCTTTTGGAATATTCAAGGCATTCCAAACTGTTCCTTTCGCGTTGTATTTAGTTGTCCGAGTTGTTTGTCCCTCTTTCCCGCATTGTCCATGGTTTCCTTGACCATTCCTTTGCTTTTCCCTTGCCTTCTCCTTTTCCCATTCCATCCATTTCCTTTGAAGGGTCCTTTTTGCTAGTAGCATCAGAAAGTATTCCGAGCTTTGCTAACGCATGAGCACCTGAACACCTAAGCAATTCGGAGAAAAAGCCGCATTGACATGGTATGTCAAAGCGAAAAGATGGACCTAGGCAAGCTGTGGAACGGCATGGCCACCTGAGTGACGTTCGATCTTCCAATCGTGCCGCATGTTCAGGCCGCTCTTGAAATGCCAAAAGATGGGTTGCTGCAGCGAAAGGAGGAGGCAAACCATGGCGCTGCCGTGCGTCGGTAGTCAGCCGCACAGGCTTTGTCAGGACTCGCATCATAAATGTCATCTGTAATTTATACATTTTTTTTATATTCATGTATGTAACATTCTGTGCTGCAAGTGCAATGCAAGTATGTCCAACAGCTGTGAAGCTGTGAGCATGAGAGGTCAAGAATATTGTGACGGAGATCGTGCAGAGCCTTGAAAGGCAAGGAGAGTGAGCTTTTTAGCAAACTCTCCGGGTTTCCTGCTGCTACAGTTTGGGTTCTGGGGTTTTGCTCTCGCAATTCTTCGCCACTTTGTTTTGGCTGTGGGCAAGCCATTCGCCAAAGTGTGGATTGCTACGCGCGAGTGCCAAAAGTGCGGTCAACTTGGAATGGCTTTGGTGGGGCTCTCAAATCGAACACACTCAACCTGGGCATGCCTGGGCTAGTTCGATGCCTTGAATGAAGATCCAACCACGAAAGCATCCAATATAGTTAAAACATATCACGAAAGGTAGCCCTTTAGGGGATACCTTGAGTTTGTCTTGCGAAGCAAGTGTTGGGACGTCCGGGTCTAATAATTGATCGCTCAATTCAG